CAGAAAAAAATAGACAGGGCGAATCCGAGAAACAAAAAATTAAATTGGTGTGGCCTTATCTTCACTGTTCCAGCTGTTGCCTGAAAGCCTTGTCATTGGCGTCATTCCAAGACACGTTTTTGGCACAAGTAGCGATCTGGAAGGAAAGGCGTCCAGGATACCATGATAAGCCACCTCAGAAAGAGTTGCGAAATGCTCTCCAAGCAGAGGTTGGATTGTGGGGAGATCGCTATCTTCCTCTGACTCCTATCCAAGCTTTGCCACCAGTTACTACACACATTCAGAACCTTTCCCCAAACAACAGCCGACCAAGGTTCGCTTAACCCTATCTAGACCGGCCTTTCTTGGGCTCAGTGCTCGCGAACAGTATATCGTATGACCACCAAATTTTCAGAGGATGATGTACTAGTAAAAAAGAATGAAAACAACAATTTTGATGTCATTCTGACGTCATTAATGTGATTTTATTGGCCAAAACCGTATAGATATAGACCCCCCCCCCGGTCTACATAGGGTTAAGCTCGGGAGCAGACTGACCTGACTTATGCCACGAATTTGAGTTAGATTTGAAACACATTTGCCAATCATGCCCCCACCTACATGTACTCCCAAAAAGCAGCCAACCTAGGCCGAACCAGTTGTCAACAAGTGAATGTTGAAACATTCGGCTGGCCATGGGGCAGCAGAGCAGTAGCCGACCTGGCCGAACACCAGCCGACCAAGCCGATCTTGCTCCCTCCCTATAAATGTACTGCTATCCAGTTAGGCAGTTCGGCAGTGGTTGGGAGGCCATATACGGATATGTGTGACAGGGGCTTATCATCATCTGGCGGCTGCGTTAGAGCAGACGACTGTGAGTTCCCTCCAGTTAGTCCTGTTCTGGGCGATGTCAGCAATACGCTTCGGGGAAAGGTCTGAGTTGTTGTCGCCTAGCAACCGTTGGATGTACTGTAGGTAGGTGGTGGGTTGGCGACCACGTCTCCTTGTACCATGAGGTGGCACGTAAAGTGTGTAGAGCCTGGCTGGTTCTTCCTCAGGCATTCGCAGAATGTGACCCAGAAATTTCAGCTGCCTCCTATACACCTGTTCCATCAGAGGTTTGGTGTTCGTCATCTCGTAAATGCTACTGTTGGATACGCGATCAAGCCTTTTAATATTCAGCATGATGCGGTAGCACGAGGTTGCAAATGAATTGATTTTATTTTCCATGTCCTTTGTGATCACCCATGTCTCACACCCATAGGTAAGTATTGTTACACAGGACACCTGGAACAGTTTCACCTTGGTGGCCCTTGGTGGCGACAGGGGCTTAACACAGGTTTGGGTGGGAGGGCTTCACTTCACAAAGCGGAACAAGTCAGAATTGAAGGTAATAATCCCCTGATCCAATCTCTGCTTAGGCTGAGGTCACATTTCCAAACCGGGGCCCGGCCGGGCAGTCTTATGGAACAAACAGTATGATATAGAAGAAAACAAAGCACAAAAAAGTTGATAATGGGAACAACTTGCCTACATGATTATTATTGATATGATTTGATGATTTTTGGTTAATCGAAACAGCCCGGCCGGGCCCTTGTTTGGAATTGTGACCTCAGCATTAGAGAGATATAATATATAATAATTGTAAAATTACTTAAAATACCTTGACACTATATCATTGCACAGTACGAAGAAGCTGTTTGTCTAGACACTTTCATTTGATATATACTTTATTAGTGTTTTGCATATGCTTTATTAGAATTTTTGCTGATACGATGTAAAACATGAAACCTATTGATAAGCCCATTCAGGTAATCCTCATTGAATTGGTAAAGACGATCAGATGAGATTTGAAGGACTGATTATTGGTCATCTTTATAATATAATATAATATAATATAATATAATATAATATAATATAATATAATATAATATAATATAATATAATATAATATAATATAATATAATATAATATAATATAATATAATATAATAGGCGGACTGAGTGTTGGTTAAAAGTGCTCATAGTTCGGAATATCTTGCCCATTTTTCCTCTTAGATATCTCAAAAACTGTAACGAATAGATACATGTATACCAGGCTTCTATCAATGACATACAAAAACAAAATTGTACTCAAAATCTGACATTGGAATGTAGGATTCCAAAATGGTAAATTGAAAATGTCATATATGACTATTTCATATACGTCTATTCGAAATTTTGTGCACTATTTATACGTTATATCTGTGGGACGTCTGCACGTGATGCTACTACTTACAAGTTGTCTCTACCGCTGCCATGCTGGTGGGATTGAAAGATCCAAGATGGCAACCTACTACTTGTACACACACAGGCAATGAGTCTTATATGGATCAGTTATAATATAGTGGATATTAGGGAAGCTGCGAGGAAATCATTTAAGTTTTGGCCACTTTGAATTCTAAAATAACATAACATAACATAACATAACATTACATTACATTACATACAACAACAAAGCATACATATGACTTCTACTTCTTTCATTCTACAACGTGGCAGATGACGCACTACGTCACTTAAAATATGACTGCAAACGACCTATTTTGTGCACACGACACAGGTCAGTTCCCTGCCCTCCACGTACGGCGGACACGGCAGCGAGCCGCAGCGGGCCTCCACAGGGTAAAACAGCGCGCCGTTGTCGTTCCCTTCCCCGCCTGGCAGTACCTCGGGCTCCCCGTCCATGCACACGAACTCCGTGCGGTGGTGGTTGAAGAAATCAGCCATCAGGTAGCCTCCGTACTCCCGGGTCCAGCCTTCCGGGCAGGTCTTGCGGGCGGGGATTATCAGCTGTGCGCGGCGGGAGAGGCTGTAGCAAACCGAGCACGGTACGTCACGGTCGTGGAAGGTAGCCTTGTCGTACGGTACGTTTGTGTCGAGTTCGTACTCCGCGCCGTACATATAGGACTTCCCCTGATTTCCATCTTCGTACAGGCCCCACTCTGGGTCCAAAGGGAGGCACTGGTAGTTGCTCCCACCGCCTTTACTGTTATACCACGCTCCGCCAGCGTGTCCAGAGTACACCGTTACGGTACCCGTACCCTCGTCACACGATGTCCTCCCCCACCTGATATAAACGGCTCCTCCGGCAAATCCCTCCGCGCCTTGGTCCCCCTTCTGTCCCGGCGGTCCTCTCTCACCCTTCTCGCCCTCCAAGCCTGGCGGTCCGAGCTTCCCAGGACGGCCCGCCTCTCCCTTCTCCCCGCGGACGCCCCTCGGGCCCGGCGGTCCCGTGTCTCCCTTCGGTCCCGGTGGAGCCAGCACGGTGATGTTGTTCACGTTGCTGTTTGCCATCTGCTTTGGACAAGAGCTGTCCTCGCCTTCTGAGTCTGCCGCAACGGAGACAGAGAGCAGAAACACTGCAGAAAGTGCGACAAAAACCACTGTAGCTTGATCACCCATCTTACTTTCAAGGCATCAAGAAAAGAGTAACTAACTCGACAGTGAGCTCTTGTGTCTGCAAAACATCTGAGAATATGTTTGACATTAACGTGTTGGGCAAATGTTGGCACACCAGAGGGAAATGTGATTTTGATTAGCTTTTCGTATAGACGGTTGTTGGCAAAAACAGTCCATGACTCCAGCCAGCCTTGCCCACACGGCACCAGTTTACCATCACGCAGGTCAAGGCTTGGCTAATTCTTCCAACAGAATCAAAAGTATGAGACGCCTGGGTTTATATTTCAAAACGATTTCCACCATCCCCTTATTTTTTTTTCTCAGGAGGCTGCGTCGACCGAGCAACAGCTAAGCGACCAAAGATTTGACAGGTCACTTCATAGATTCCATAGATAAGGACCGATTTCATTTACGTGTCTTTGTGTGGGTTTGGGAACTTTTACAAGTTTGCAAAAAGGCACAGTAAGTATAATCGCATACAAGCTTTAATTACACTAGCGTGCATCAGAATGCCACACTACTCAGAAATGATAAATCTTCATCATGCAATATCGCGTTGGTTATAATCTGCCAGTTAATTACAAATAAAACAATCACGCAACTGCATCCATTAGAAAGCGCTACTAATAAGCCTATTCGCCATTACCGGCGCGAAATGCATGATGGGTAATATCCGCCATTTTGAGAGATAAACAAAACCGCGTCGCCCCGCGACACAGCGAGCGCGGGTGTCGAATCCCGCTACGTAGCTAAAAAAAATGAGTTTACCCGGGCCGTAAGTGGAGATTTTATATCTTATTGGACGGCAAAGATGACAGACGTTTCTTGGTTGAGGTTAGACTGCCGGTAACTGCCGGTTTTCAAGGCGTTTCCGCGATTCACGTCCAGGGGGAAAAGCCTACAACTTCAAGGCGCATACAACTTCGTATGCTTAAAAGAATCACGACGCGGTTGCCGAATTCGCCGAAGACAGCAGCAGGTTCAGTTGTGAATGTCAAGAATTATAGTCAAGAATAAAAAACTCACCTATTCTCGGCCCGGTGGGCTTCACGGAAGGGTAGTTCGTCGAACCGAAGGACGACGTCAAAGGATGCCCTCCCCCCGCACTTAAAAATTGGTCCAGCACTGATCATGAGTTTAGCGAGCCGGCCCTGTGCCTCCCATACTACGTAAAACGGCTGTCGGGTGACTATGATGAGGAGAAAACATACTCCTACTTCGACTTTGAATGGGTAAGCGAAGTCCCTTACCACCATATTACCCCAACTGCAGACAGAAATTGCTTCCTCAAACGACTAGGCACATCTTACCTCCTTATTTCACACTGTCTTGGCCGCGGAGACGAACTTGTCCACAGACCCAGGATACAGAACCCAAGACATAACAGTAGTATTCAAGCAACCATGGCATTAATTTTCTTTGAAGAACCTTGTGTTTAGTAAAGGATTGTTGCATGTTGCCAGTAATACTTGTGTTAGTATACAGGTCTTTCTCAACATATATGGCATTGTATATTTAATATCATATTTCCTATGCACCATTCATTAAGTGCTGTCCACATATAGAGAGATATGGGAATAAGAAAAATATCAAAATGGTGCTTGTTTTGTTTTCTTTATAGTATATACATGTATGTAACAGTACAATCAGTGTCCAGGGAAATAGTAATTGAAAGGTTATCTGAGTTGGTAAGTTACATATTTTATTTAAAAAAAAAACTGTTCTCCAACTCAAGAAATTTGAGTTTTCAACTATATCTGTCTTCATCAACTATCTGAGCCAAGTGCTGTGGCATTATATTTTCTACATCACTTTGATTGCAGAGCTGTTTGTGTGTTAACACAGTAAGTTTATGTTTAACGGTGCTTGTATGTTTTCTATCACAGTGTGAATGTTTACAGTAATCTAGTAATCGCCATCGTACAACCTATGCTGTCTAGCAAATATTATTTAGTATTTAGACAATAAACCGGATAGTGAATGTGAGTGAGTATGTAGTACTGTCGATGCAGTTAACTGACTTGTTTTTCTTGTGTTTGGTCAGAAAAACAACAAGAGAGTAGTTACAAATTAAATATTCCACTTTCAAGATCCAAACGCAGGGGTCAGGTGTTTGGTGTAAGTAGTGTAAATGACTGGAGTTCTCTACATACACCTGATCTTATGGTCAACAGTCAGTGGAAAAGATCTAAACTTAAGTACTAGTACTTAGACCATCACTGGGAGCACCCGTGGTGCAGGCACGAAGGAGTCAACTACACCAGTTCACCACAGCTTTCTCAACTGCATGCGGAAAAAGGTATCTTAAGTGGTAAATATAGTGTTAATGACTTGACATCATGTTCAAATATATTATTTTCCACTAATTCAAGTTAATAAGTGAAAAGATAATCATATTGAATCTATTTACAGCAGACCCTTGTTAGACTAAAAGTCTGTACCAGTTTAGCAGTATTACTGCACAGAACTATCAAAATTCAGTACATAAAATATCTGTCATGATTACAATTTGCAGCACTGTTTATGTGCGGGTTACAATATACTTTCAGGAAACCATTTCAGAACCTAAGTGTACTTGTATTTTTAGTATATTCCATCTGGGTTTGGCTTCAAGCTTGTTCATAAGTTTATTCCCTCTTCTCCTAGCATGAGGTTTTTTTCTTCTCATAGGAAAATGGTCCATTTTTTGTACCATGTATTTGGCATGTCTCTTCCATTTTTCTAGATGGTAAGTTGAATTGCTGCAATTCACTACTGCGCACAGCTTCATGTTGAGGTCGGGAAAGTAACACTGTAAAAAGAAGAAGAGAGAAAAATTGAACCAAAAGTTGATGGATTTACGTTCAAAACATCAAGTCTTGAATGCACTAATGCAATGGCATTTGCATGCACAAAACCCCCATGGCCCTATGTATCCCGCTACGAAAACCACACTAAATATTTATAAACATATAGATGTCATCACTGCTTGTACTATTCCTAAATCATTATTTTAATCGGTAATAATGTCGTGGTGAGACGGTGAGGATTGTGGTTAGAAAGCTCTATGTGCTTGGGGTGACACAAGAACACGTAGTGTATCGGTCTTCTGAAGACAAAGCTCATGCAGTTTATTTACAATTTTTACCGACTAAAACTGAAAAATTCCACCATTACCTTACACAAATAACCACTCTTACACGAAAAAAGGTATTCCAAAACTCGTTTTATCGAGATTGGACCGGAAAATTGAGCGGAAAACGTGAAGACGGAAGGCGTGCAGGATGGGGGAGGGGGGCATGCATAACTAATTAGGCGCTAGCGCTAGCTTGGATACCGTCAAAAAACGTACCGTAAATCCACTTGAAGATAAAGATATCGCGATATTTTAGGCAAGATAGGTCCAGAACATCGTTGGAACTCAGCCCAAGGCGGGCCACCACCGGTAACGCCGTGTGTAAGCTGGAAATCGAGACATACGCTGGCGCTGGGGACGATGGAGGCCGCGGGTTTGTTTATCTCCAATTCTTCGTCGCTAAGTAAACTCCGCGCAGGCGCACTAGTAATGGCGAATAGGCTTATATGAATGAAAACTGTTCTAAATCATTAGGCATGGTCGAACTACGAAAGGATTGCATTGGGCTGCTCCACTTTTCCTTTACATGGGTGTACTAGGTTCTTTCAGGCGTATTAGATACAGACTATGTGTGTAACAGAAGTGGGTGCACCACCCATACATAAATGGAACAGTCTTATAAGGCCACAGCAAGTAATTTTTATGGATGACATCTGCGTGCGCATTAATTTGTGCCTAATTTTTGAAAAAAAATTTTTTTTTCCCCTTCTGACAGTGGTCAACATGCCGCAAATGGGCAAAGATGTCTGCTTCCATGCCAGAAGGTGGATTGCAGATAACTATGAAGAGAGAAGAAAAGAAAAGGCTCTGCTTTAATTTTTGTTTCTTACTTTTATGCGGCTGGTTGTGTATATGTGATGTTCCAACTGAGTCAAAACCATTTGTCCAATGATTGAGTCAAAATTTTAGATTGTAGGAACCTTGTTTTTTTTTTCCGGCCAGCCTTGTTTTTTCGCCCGCTCGTATTAGATTTGGAATCTGTTGAGAATGTCATCCATATAATTAAATTGCTGTGGCCTAAGTACTTGCGCAGAAAACACAAGACTCGTGTCGTGAGTTTCCAAGATTCTGCAAATTACGGATTAAGCCAGATTTGTTCAATCTGAGCATTTTATCCGGTTAATTGGACATTATTATCCACAAATCTCCATGCATTTCCGCCAAGATTTACACAATCACGGTGTTGTTGGCTAGGAACGGCAGACGTCGCGTGGCTTTTCTGCGTAGGAAGCATCCCGATGTAGGTACTTGTACTTACCAACTCAATGACATACATAAAACACGAAAGGCGAATTAAACGGAATAATAAAATGGAACAGCACTTATAATTACAGTACCAGCAGCCCATACGAAAAGACTGAAAATCTCTTTCTTACACAAGGCAATTTGCCTGTACGACTTCGCAGTAGGACTCTTAGGACGGTCTGGTCTTTACTTTAGTGCCCGTGTGAGGCTTTTTGTCGGTCTGGTGCTCGGCCAGACCGGCTACTGTTCAGCTGCGCCAGCCGATTGTTTCAATATGTTCAAAACATTCGAGTGTGGACGGCAGTAATAATAGTCGGTCATGCTTGGCTAGTGCTTGCCTGGTGCTCGGGGGTCAAATTTGACTCGTCAGAGTGCTCGGGTTCGAGTCCTGACATGCCACCGATCTTGTGCCCTTGGGAAACGCACTTAACACGACTTTCCCCACTTAGCTCAGGTGAAAATGGGTACTGTAATGTCCCCTGTGTTGGTGACGGCATTAATATAAGTTGAAAAAAAACTTGAGTGTGCCATCACCACGTCTTGTGATTATATGTTAGAAGATTAAAAAGAATTGACTCAAATTTAACTTAAATTCAATTTGATTCGCATAGAAAGGTAGACTAGTCTGTCAGGCTGCACCTGAATTTCAGACAACTTTGGTCGGCTGGTGTTCGGGAGAAGGTTCTGAATGTGTGACAGGGGCTTCAGCCAACCTTGGTCGGCTGGTGTTCGGGGGAAGGTTCTGAATGTGTGACAGGGGCTTCAGCCAACCTTGGTCGGATGGTGTTCGGGGGAAGGTTCTGAATGTGTGACAGGGGCTTAGACCTGACTCGTGAAATGATGTAAAACCCTAATCTCCAAGCAGATCTTTCGGTGGCAAGACAGTATCCATTGGCCAGAGGAGTGTCCATTGGCCACCGAATGGATACAGGACGGCCAATGGATACAGGATGGCCAATGGATACTGTCTTTTGCCACCCAACCGAAAGATCTGCTTGGAGATTAGTAAAACCCCGGTAACTCAAGAATTGGAAATCAATTTGTTCGTGACAAGAGCTGTCTAATGGAGAGGGGATAGTAAAAACGATTACGGCTTAATCTAGTCCTTCCAATTTTTACGTAAGTCAATCAGATCACGTCTTATTCCATCTCACGCCATTACCCTGCTAATCGCCACACTGGGTAACGTTCCTGCACGTGAAGACCACGTGAACAGTGCGTGGCAAGAACAAGGCACGTGAACAAGGCGTGGGCGGGGCGTGTGTTACTAGGGTATTATAAGTAACAACATGGTCGTTCACCTACTGTATTTCTCATTTCATCGCTTGAAGCTAGTAACTTCTCTTGTGTCAGATATGTACAGAAACTTGGCGTTGACTAAACAGTAATTGCAAAAGGCACTCGAGAGATAAAGAAAGGCAAGCGGGCACAACACAATGTTTAACAACTCAACGACTTTATCCAACACCAGCGTGTCGACGTCACCTCTGCTGACGGCAACCGTACCGCAAGAGGCGGCGGAGGGTAGCGACGGGTTCGTGCACATCGACAGCGATGACGCCACCTGGATCCTGACCAGCGCCATTTTCATCTTCACCATGCAGTCAGGCTTCAGTCTGTTGGAATCCGGACAGGTAGCCGTATCTTCATATCTACCTGTATTTCTACCTATCTCTCTGTCTCTCTCTGTCTCTCTCTTTCTGTCTCTGTCTATCTCTCTGTCTATCTCTGCCTCGCTCTGTCTGTCTCTCTCTCTGTCTGTCTCTGTCTCTCTGTCTCTGTCTCTCTCTCTGTCTCTCTCTCTTTCTCTCTCTGTGTTTTACCTGTATCTGTAGGCATATATTATGTACCTGTGTACCTGTACCTGTGCCTATACCAGTACATCTGTGCCTTCATATCATCTGTATATTAATTGTATCAATACCTTTACACGTACATGAAACAAGGACAAATACAGGACAATGTAATACTCATTTTCACTCGAGCTATGTGAGGAAAGTCGTGTAAAGTGCCTTTCCCAAGGGCAAAATATCGGTGACATGTCAGGAATCCGGGACCTCTTGGTTCCGAGCTGAGCACTCTGCCGCTACGCCACACCACCCCACACTACATGTTGCTTCTACAATCTGTTTTTAGTGCTAGTGTTAGCTTGTTCGTGTATATGCATATACGAATTATTCATTTGTTGTGACGTGTACTTAACCCTGTGGGTATGTATGTATGTATGTATGTACAATCAAGATCGTTGTTGGTTCATTTAAACCTTTTCTGTGATTGTTCAGGTGTCCACGAAGAACGAGGTCAACATCATCTTCAAGAACGCCATGGACGTCATCTTCGGGGGGCTGACGTACTGGCTGGTCGGGTACGGGATGGGCTTCGGCACCGAGCCCGGCTCCAACTCCGTGGTCGGGGTTGGCTACTTCTTCCTGGACGCCTCCGAGAGAGACATGGGCTTTCTCTTCTCGAGTTTCTTCTTCCAGCTGGCCTTCGCGACGACGTCTGCGACCATCGTGAGCGGCGCCATGGCAGAGAGAGCCACCCTGGAGTCGTACGTTATCTTCTCTCTGGTGAGCGTCGTCCGGCGTATTTTTTTTTATATTCCAACATTTCTTTATTGAAACATATGGTGACAAGACGTGGTGGCGGCACACTCAAGTTACACTTATAGGCATGTCGCCACCAGGCAATACGTCATACAAGGAAGCAAAGCACGAGTTTTCATATAGAAGTTGAATACAATAATTAATAAATGAACAAGTGAAACACATATTTAAATACTCGACAGGATTGATCAAGATATTACAAAAAAAACTTCTATGGACGTAAGTCCTCACATCCTATCCTATGTAATTCTGGTAGAACACGGATAAAATAAATAAAAATGCAATAAGGGCGTCATTCATATTAAAACAAAATAAACGAATACAGACAAAATAACAATAAAGCGCTTAAGTTGCATCAAGTTAACAAATAAATACATACTATCAAAAACAACAAACAAGTTACTTCAGTCTATGGACGTAAGTCCTAACACGCCACTCAACGTATTTCTGGTTGCACACGAATGAAATAATAGACCTATCCTGAATGTCCATCACAATTAAAAGTTCAACCAATGAGAGAATGGCAATTAGCGGTTCTACCAATGAGAAGTGGCTGTATGTCCGTCAAATATTTCTATGTCTGTTGGTCTATTAAGATCTTGTGATTGACAGGCGAGCGCGGTCATCTACGCCCTGCCATCCAGGTGGCTGTGGTACAAGGGAGGCTGGCTGAAACAGGTGGGTCAAATATGTGTTATAGCTGCATTATTATGGCTTCACCACTATGTGGTAAAGACATATTGTTTTTCCTCATGTTTTCTTCTCCTTTTCCTCCTCCTCCTTCTTATCCTGCCATTTCTTTAATTGATTCAACTCATTTTTGGGGCAAATAACATGAAATGACGGTAGAGTGGGCAAATACCCCCCAGGCGTTTTTTTTTCATTTTTGTGATACAGGCTTTTAGAATGGTTTTATTTGAGCTTTTCGGCTGTGTTATAGAAAATGTACTATAGCAGTGTGTTACCATATTTGGGCATGAGTCATCAGAATGACATGCAGAGCCAGCGGCGAACAGGCATGCAGCTTTCCTCTATTCTTCTTGCTGATTGGCTGTTGGGATTTGATTGGGTTAACTCAGTTAACACCTGTACAATGCCATGCCATATTGACAGTATGAATTGACAGTTTTCATCCAAGATGTACTCTATAATAATAATAATAACTTCAATCTTTGGGACGGAATGTTTATCATGATAAGCAACAGTTAATTGCTCACGGTATGTATAGAAGCATCCAAAAGTTGCTTAATGTAAACATAGCTAGTCCTATTCTTTGAATGAAATACCTTTAATAGCGCCCATCCGCATTTTCGCACTATCTTGCCGGAAACTGAAGTATGCTAACTGCGTTGTTCTACTGACATGTGAGCGCGTTTCAGCACAAAGGACAGTAAACATCATGCCGTGTGCCAGCTTTCCTCAGGTCAAAACATTTTATCGACATGGTGGTTACCAGATAACAAAACAAATCCTATTCTTACCAAGTTATATATATGGTGGGGTGAGGAAAGCAATGGTTATATCCAGTTCTGATGAGACACTACACATGGAGTGTTCCACGTGACATGGCAACAACGTAGGACGACTTTTTAAAAGGGGGCCTGGAGGGAGCCATTTTAATGACCTTTGACCCTTCTGCCTTGTGGGCATATGAATGGAAACATTCTGCAAACCGTCGCTCTCTATTACCTTTCCACATACATACAATCTAATATTAACCATAAAGGTGAGTCAAGTTCCGCTCCTGACGCTACAGCTAATGTCATTTGACCTCTAAATTCAAGATGGCGGAAGGTCAAGGAAAGTGTTCATTGGTAAATTCTTATGTAACAACGAGTAGAAAGGTATCATGTTTACCTACTGCTTTGTTTATTCTTACTCAAACACAACTCAGTTGTAATGGTGACAGACGTCTGGTCCTGGTCATTGACCTTATTTGTTTAGAACGGTTGAAGAAGAAGAAGAGGAAGAAACTGAGCAAAACAATATGTTTTCCTTCGGTTAATATAATTACCTACAAACAAAAAAAAAACTACAACCTTTCTGTGTCCAGCTGGGCGCCTTAGACATCGCAGGGTCGGCTGTGGTCCACATCCTGGGCGGCACCAACGGTCTGGTGGCCACTTTAATTATGGGACCTCGGATCGGCGTATTCAAACCCGACACTAAGGAACCGAGGATGGGCTACCCGACTAACGCGCTTCTGGGCATGTTCATGCTATGGTGAGGACTTATACGTTTAGCACCTTGAGAGGGTAATATTTTAGGCTTTTCCTTTCTTGTAATTCCTGATCCATATTCGTATTGTCATACATCCCAGTGACTGTTATCTAATTGCTTTTCATGTATATTTTGATGCAATCTACATTTTTGTCACGAAGAAGAGTGTCAAGTGTCCTTCGGAACGGTCGATGTGTAACTTAAACCAGTCTATCAGTTGGCAGAATAATGTTATTATCTGAAGCCAAACCTTGCTATGTCTTCAATTTTAGATACACATGGAAGCACTAATACAGTATTGTACATCGTGCTTCCTATATTGTATAGTTGGACCAAATTTGAAGGCGTTACAATAATTTTGGGTCTGATATAGTCTGCCATCTGACAGGCTAGGTTAGGTTGCAAACCGACTACCCTGACACTAGCAGAAGAAATGGTCGGCTCCCCACCACCGCCATTTTCATGATGATGTTGTGCCCTTGCAGGTGGGGATGGCTGGGGTTTAACTGCGGGAGTACATACGGGATAACAGGCGGGAAATGGAAACTCTCCTCTCGGTAAGTGAAAACTTAGTCAAGTCGTTTAAATCATGGCTGAGTATAAAGTTAGGTCATGTTGATTTGATTATCTGAATGGCATCCGCGCTCGCATGAATTTTCAGTCGTTTCAAAAAAAAGTTTTCAACCACATTGTAAATCGTACAAAATGAGCAAATGAATACCTAAGTTGCAAAAAAAATATTTGGAAAAATATATTTGAAAACGATTCCAATGTAGTAGAATGCCAAAATCAAACGAAAAAAAAACGAAAATGTAAAGAATTAGAAATGAATTCGAAAAGTAAATTATTCGCCAAACCATACATGTGTCATTTGTTCGAACTTATTGACCATGTCGATTTCATAATGAAAGCAACTTTTTTTACCAAAACTTTTTTTTATTCGCACGTTCGCATCAGTTTTGGGGTTCTCAGAGGATGTCATCCATATAATCAAATCAACATGGTCTTATGTTAGCAAACAAGTCCACTTTCACAATCGCAATGGAACACTTGAAAAGGACACTGGACGACCTATTCATGTGCCGTACAGTACATGTTTGAACATGACGTTACATGTACTTGTGCCATGTTGGATTACAGTGTATCCATGTTAAACACGAAAACATGTTGCTGCTGCTGCTGAAATCCACTAAAAACTCGTCGCCGGGATTCGAATGACAATTATTATTACGTCAATGAAAAGCGTCTGTAAGTAACCTCTAGAGATAAGATTTAAGCTAAGGTAGGGTATCAAAAGTGAGGAGAGGTGGGTCAAGGCAACTGTCCTCAGCGTATCATTGTATCATACCCTAACCTCTGCAATTCGCTGTGAGGGGTTGATTTCTTTTCCCCCTGCCGCTCCAGGGCTGCCGCTGCCACCTTACTGGCATCCATGGGAGGAGGGACGGTCGGGATCGTGTTCAGGTGGGCTAGTCTGGAATCCACCCTATGCCAGCGACTGTTCGCTCTTTCAATCGCTTCCTTTCTTGAACATGTAGACTGGCACATATTAATGGCCCATTAGGCCATGTTGATTTGCTTATATGGATGACATCCGCGCGCGCATGAATTTTCGCCCGTTTCCAAAAAAAAAAGAAGTTTTCGACCATACTGTAAATCGCACAAAGTAGCTGCAAAATTAGCAAATATATGCCGTAAATTGGAAATAAATTTTGGAAAACGATACTTATGTCGCAGAATACCAAATTTCTTTCCAAGGGACAAGAAGAAAATGTGAAGTAATTAAAATGAAGAACATAGAATTCACCAAGGCAATGTAATATTACTCTGTGTGTTTAGTCATTTATTCAACCTTCATGACCACGTAGCTAGATTTCATAATGAAGGCAATTTTTCTTTGCCAAACTTTTTCAATCGCCCGCTCGCATCAGTTTTGGGGTTCCCAGAGGATGTCTTCCATATCATCAAATCAACATGGCCTTAATATATATATTAGGAAATCTTTTAGCGAATTCACTAGGCTACATGTATTGCGAAGGCTCTTACAAAACTACCTATTTGTTGTCTTACATTAGTTGGCTTATGAGGAACGGTAAGATTGAGATCCGCTACACTCTAGACGGCATCCTAGGATCACTGGTCTCCATATCAGGTAAGAACGGCATACATACATGACTCCTCATGGGGACTGAGAAAGTAGTTCATGTGGGGTGAACAGTTTGCCAGAGAGTATCTAGACTACTAGCAGAATGGTGGTTTTTCCAGGGATTTCGTCTCAACTATTTGGGCCTGTGTGTGCTGAGATCTGTGCTCAGGGCTTTGCTGCAAAACAAGGCGCTATGATTTTTCTTCCTTTTCAAACTTCTTGATCGGTATGACGGCTTTGAAAAGGTGTTTAATGTCAGAAACACCTGTTTCGCCATGCCATCCACAGTGCATATTGTACGTGGTAAAACTTAATAAATAAATGAATAAAGGCCGTTTGTCCTTCTGAATTTTATTTCTTAATTCAATGTGCCTTTACTAGTTTTTTTTGTCTCAGAACTTGTTTCAAATTAGCATTTTGATACTTAGTCTTAGTCATTTTTCTGTTCCTGTTCGTTAAGCCCTTTGCAGCTTGGCGCGACCGTGGGAGAGCCTGCTGATCGGGGCTGTTGGCGGGTACTTGGCCATCCTGGGCGGGGAGCTCATCAGGAGGCTGCGGATAGACGACCCGGTCGGGGTGGTGGCCGTGCACGTGGTGGGCGGCGTGTGGGGCATGCTGGCGGTCGGCCTGTTCCTGCGTCCGGACAGGGTGGCGGGACTGACGAGCCACGCAGGTATTCTGGGAGTTGAATGGGGAAAAGATAGTGTAGAGATCTAGAGATAGAGAAAGATATATTCAGAGGAATTATGAAATGCAAAAGTAAGACAAAGATACTAGAAAAAAGTGTTCCACGTGGTGGGCGGGGTGTGGGGCATGCTGGCGGTCGGTCTGTTCTTACGTCCGGACAGGGTGGCGGGACTGACGAACCACGCAGGTACTATATAATGCACTTTATGTTCATGGTAGCAAAGTTTCACGGTCTGACAAAAGTGGACATGTTCACGGAACTATATATTCAAGGTGGTGACAAGCACAGGAAAAGGAAAACCTAGGAATTATTTGGCAACTATAATACATTGTAATAAGTTCACGGTACAGAAGTGACAGTGAAAACAGTGAACACAAAAGTACAGTGAAAAAAACAGGAACTAGAAAGGTAACATTTGCAAGCAAATGCAATATGTTTACCTCAGGATGGTCTTGCCTACGATTTAACGTTATACCTTTATTGGGAAAGGATGGGTAGAAGGATATTTTGCTTATATTACTGACTTCTATGTACTGTTATTATAGAGTAACATTACCGTAAAAACTGGGGGATTTGAATGTTTTTGCCCTTGTAAGGCGAAGGATGAAGTTTAGAATGAAGTTTTAGTGTCGTGTATAGGAGATATATGTAACGTTACATACCACAGTACCAATGATTCACTCAGCACACCCTCTTACCATGTTTGC